GCAATCCAGAATGCTGAACAATATACAGTACCTGGAATCATCTGGAAATTTGTTTGCAAGTTTTCATTGAACTTAAATTTTTAATGAACATTTAGAACCTACCTCACTTACAAACTCTATTGTTATTACAATGCATTAAATTGTAGTCAACAACAATTTGCACTTATATAGTACCCTCCACACCAGGAGGCATCTCAGAGCACTTAACAATGGTGGAGCCTAAGACCAACCCAGGGGGAGGGGGAAGGTAAATGTAGGCGCTATTGAAAAGGTAGGTCTTCACGTGCGACCTGAAGATGGGAAGGCGGGGGCGAGGTGAAGGGGTTGAGGGAGGGAGTTCCAAAGTTTCGGGGCGTAGTGGCTGAAGGATTCAAGGGACGCAGAAGAGGCCGGACCCAGTAGATGGGGGCAGTGGCTACTGCTGTGGGGAGAGAGTAGGTTAGAGAGGTAGGGGGCTGCCAAGGAATGGAGGGATTTAAACACGAGAGTGAGGATCTTGAAGCCGATCCGCTCTGTGACAGGGAGCCAGTGGAGTTTGGCAAGGACAGGAATAATCGGGGTATGAAGTTTGGTGCGAGTGAGAATGTGGATGGCGGAGGTTTGAATGAGCTGGATTTTGTGAATAGTGGAGGAGGGAAGAACGGCGAGGAGGGTATTATAGTCTAGCCGAGAGGTGACAAAGGCATGGACAAGGGTTTCGGCAGCTCTTGGGGTGAGGTATTGTCGGAGATGGGCAATGTGGCGGAGGTGGAAAAAAGTGGTGCTGGTCAGGGACCAGATGTGGGGGAGGAAGGATGGCTGGGGATCGAACCGAACGCCTAGTTGACATCCATTATTTTGAATTGGGTTTTTCCAAAAAAATCTGCCATTTTGTGCATTGTTCACTTATTTCCCCCAGGACTGTGAAGCAAATTACACAGAAACAGTACTCCAACATAAATATATACAGCATGGAGTACAGTAGCGTAATGGTTAGAGCACTCGCCTCACAAACAAGAGGACACGGGTTCATTTCCCGGGCAGGGCAAAACCTTAGGTAAGTTTCCTTACTTCACATGCCTCTGTTTACCTAGCAGGAAGTAGGAACCAGGTTGTTAGTCAATTGGTGGATTGCTTTCTGGGGGTAATAATCCCTTCAAAAAAAATTAGAAAGAATAATATTGGGTTAACTCAATCCACGATTGTTTGTGGGACATTGCTGTGCAAAATTGGCTGCTGCGTTTTGTCCAAAAAATACAGGAGATTCACTTTGCAGTATATTCTGTGAAGCACTTTGAGACTTCTCAATGGCTTGATAAGTCGTTATATCAAATGCAAGGATTATTATATACAATTATCCTTGCATTTGGTAGAGTGCTCTTTCACATTGTTGAGACATCTCAACCCACTTTACAGGATTTTACTTGAAGTGTAGTGACTGTGTATTTGTAGGTGAATGCACAGCAATGTCCCACGATCAAGCATGAAGTGAATAACTATTTTTTATTCGGGCGATTGTTGACCAAGACACTGGGGAAACTTCTTTCTCTTTTCGAATAGTGTCATGGAATCATTAACATCCATCTGAACAGGCAGATAGTTTAATGCCTCATCCAAAGGACAAACTCTTTAAGAATTCAACACTCCTCCAGCACTGCATTGGAGTGTGAATGTGAGAGACTGTGAGTTCAAAGTCCTGGTATGGGGCTTGAACCCACAACCTTCTGACTCAGAGATGAGAGTGCTATGAACTGAGCCAGGCTGACATCTAAACACAACATATGCGTATCATATGCTGAAGAAGAATGTGAGAGTGATAAGTTAAATGTAATGTTCACTAAAGCTGGCGAGCACTTTGTTCCGTGCTTATCATGGAAAATCACCTCATAACAGTGCACGTTAGAGATCCTTGGTCGATGCCAGGAAGAATTGTCTTTATCTGGACAGATCTTCTTAAGGAAATATCTGTTCAAATACTGCTTTGTTTTTATATTGAGCCAAATATACAAAGTCAATTAGAGGAATTGAAGTGAATGATTTTAAATACGGCCAACTCGTATTCAGTCCATAATGAAGCATTTATCAGGAGCACCAACTACTGCTGCCTCAAAATTGCAGGCGCCTGTCCAATCAATCCAGACTGAAAAATTACCGTTCATCAGGGAATTCCCACACTCTGAGTCATTTTAAAACAAAGAAAATGAAGCTCCTATCCCCCACCCATGCACATATTAACTAGCATTAAATCGGTTCTGGATTTTTTCTAAAAGAAACACGGCCTCGGGATCCAACGTGAAACCCACTGGTCCTAATTGTCACAGCACAATAGAAAGCTTGACAATAAGGCTCTGAAGTGGGGGATGTGCACTGCAATGTTCAAGTGGTGGCTCAGAGTTCAGGTTTCCACAGGCAGCTGTGGAATTCAGAGTCTGTGCCAGCATCAGGGAAACCCTCCAAAACAATGACCCTTAAGGAGGTTCCTCCCTTTCGGGTCATGTTTATGACTCATAAATTCTAATATTGTCACTGTTAAGGAACAGATATTTGAAAGTTGTCCATAAATATAAAGACCCTTCATAAAACATCCAGTCAAACTTCAATATACCGAAAAAAAGCCAATGTTATGACAAACTTTTTTCCTAGTGCCGGCTCAATATCCATTGCAGTCAAAAAACGGTAAGGCTCTCACAGAAGCTTAACCCCTGACAGAATAATTCCAACCATTGCCAAGAGTTTGGAAAGGATCATAAACCAGAAGAAAAAGTAATTTGGTGCATTTTTGCAATCAAGGCCTGTCAGTTATGGTATAAAATGCATTATTTTAAAAGAAACTACTGAAAAACGCTGAATATAGAACATTTTATCCCAGATATTATAAATGGCAGTTTTTTTTCACTTGTTAGAAGGTACTGAATTTCAATAATAGATTTTTGAGATGGTCTGGAAGAAACGTATTTGCTGCATCAATAACTTAACAGAGGGCCTGGGTAACACAGTGGATTCAAATGCAGCCTGGACTAATGGGATGAACCCGTCTGTCTGTTGTTTATGAGAGAACCATTTGAAATATATTAGGTCATGTCCAGTGCCTAGTGGGCACAATTGCACACTCAAACCTGAACTCACTCAGATGCCACCAGATTTATATTCCCCTACCAAATGCACGCAAAGTGCTTCACAGGATACACTTTGCAACATATCTTGTGATACACTTTGAGACGTCCTACGAAAACTGTGAAAGGTGCTGTATCAACTGCAAGAATTATTATTATAGCTGGTAAGAGAAATGCGAAATTTCACACTAGTGCAACAAGGATGACATTAACACACAAAGTGGGCAATAGTCTTTGTGGCTGCAGATTGGAAAATGTACAGTCCTTGTCAGTGCCAGTTTATGAGGTGTGAAGCTCACATTGTTAGATTTGCTGATCAGTAGGAATTGAAACATATCTGCCCACAAAGAAAAGTTAGTTTATCGATGAGAGGACAAAGGATCACTAGGCACATAAAATGGAAAACTCTTCAATTTCCCAGTGGGCACAAATTTCACCAGAGTAAAAGATAAAGAGGCTGCGCTCCGGTGATATCAGTCAGCAACTGCCCTGTACATCGCATCTTGTATTCAGCCCTGAAGTAGGTGCATATGATCGGTTTCCACATTGACAAAATAGCTCTCTGCGTGCATGAGAAGATTAAATACACTTGCTGATCAGTGGATGCCATGTATGTGGATTCCTTTGCCAGACACTGACGCTGCGTACCCTTTGGTTCTTGCAGAAAAAGAGCACCTTCTCAGCTCCACAATTAATCAAAATATGTTTTTCAAAGGAACCATACGACAGAAATAAAGAACTACATTTGAAGACAAGGAACTGAAAATTCAAAGAACTCAGTTACAGAGTTTCCTTCTTCTTTAAGACAAACACATTAACTAAGAAAGGGCAAGGGTCACATCTTAACAGATGTTTAAACATAATCCATTTAAAACAACTTCATATCTCTATCTGTAAATTCATGGCACTATAAGATCAAAAACAATCAAAACAAACACTTACTGATTCTAATTGGCAAACAGAAACTATTCTGACAGCAGCTGTATAAATATGACTTTTTTTTGCCTCTTTTAGATTTTTCTGACTGGAGTTAAATACTTACATTGAAACTCAAAAGGATTAAGTAGACGGCAGGCACAAATTTTCCACAAAAGCTCATGATTATTAATAATTCACACCTATTATTTAAATTGTAACATTAAATTTCACACTGCAACGACAAAGCTTAGTGTTGAAACAGTTCTATTGAGTTCCTTGGCAACAATACAGATGCACAAAGGCATGAAGTAAATGATTCGATCATCTATAGCGTCCAGAATATGTAGCACATAAATAATGAGCAGGACAATAAAAAGTACTTTACAGCAGATGATAGCAGAGCAACAACAACAACAATTTGCACTTACATAGCATCTTTCAGGTTGGGAAAGGGTCTCAAAACACTTTAGATTTTTTTTGGTCAGCTGGGTGGCTGACACATGCGGACACCCATCTCCGTGCTGAAGAGTATCCACACAAAGCTGAGATTTCCATGCATCCCACCTACACATGGATAGATTGTTGGAATGGAAACTCTCTCCCTGGAGGCACGTGTCCTGCTTACCTAATTCTGGAAAGTATTAGGCACAGGTTGGCAAGAGTCAAGGCTTGGGGACCTTAGAGTGTGCATTGGGGTACTGCTGGAGTCGAAACCAGCTAAAACTGCATAGCTTGCCATTGATATTGCTGTCTGGAAAGCTTTCCCACTGCTTGTCTAGCTAGGACCACCCTATCCGTTTGGGCTTTGGCTTTCAGGGTTATGTTACAGACTGAGCGGAAGCCCCAGTTTAAAAAAGGGGTGAAAGTTTAGATGCTTAGTAATATGTCTTATCCTCAAAGGTAGATTTATAGTTTTTGAACCAAAAGTATTCTCGTCATTTATACTTCTTTCTGGTGTCAGATAACAATACTAAATATCCTTCCACATACCTGCTGCTTTTTCTACAAAGATGACCTTTGACTCTGGCAGAAAGTTATGACCATTTAAAATCATCTTCTTTCCGCCAGCGACAGGATAGCTGTCCATGCTTTGTTTTTCCACAAGTGGTAATTCTTGTGCAGATCTCTGAGCTGAAAATAAAAGAAAGTCAACAATAATAATTTTATGGATTGAATATGAAACCTCTGGGTTTATTTCTCAATAAAAAAGCTGGGTCCTTCAGCCTTGAGAAAAGATGACTCAAAGAAGACCTCATAGAGACATATACAATTTGAGATAGCATTGAAAAAGTAAATCCAGTTCTATAGTTTAGAACAAGTGGACATAGGTTTAGAGTTCTAATGGTCATTTGAGGGCAGATAGCAGGAAGTTTTTCTTTACTCAGAGGTTTTAGAACAGGTGGCAATGCGCACTGAACTCATTTAAAAGCAGCATTTTGCTATGATAGGGGTGAAATGGTAGGGTGGGTGTTCTGGAAGGATGAGATCGGATGAGCCGAAATACTTCTTCATCCAGACCAATTTTGTGTGATCTTTCGAGTAGCTGTTTACAATTATTTCGTTGGAGAAGGTCCATGGAAGGCCAGTGACTAAAATTCCACTTGACTGGCCTGAAATGGGATGGGCATGAATAATTCAGCTATTACACCAATCAAGGGCCAAAAAACACATTCTGGAATATTAACTCTGCTCTGTGTTTTCTGCTGCTGCAGACTCTGGCTGAAACCACCTCTTCCAGTGGCTACTGCACTGCCTCAGTGCTGCACTGCATCATTGGCTTGTTTGCATCAAAGGTGCAAACTGGGCATGAGCAGCTATCTTAAAAACTGACTCAAACAGAGGGTGACTCCTAATTTAAGATATAAAAGTTAGATTGGAAAGAAAAAAAAGGAGACAGACAGACAAGGAAGAACTCTTACAGTAACAAAATATGAAAAATAAAATATTTGTTGCTTTTTTTAAGAATAGATAATGTGAAGCATTGAAGAGATTTAGTCCTGATTGGTGGGGAAGCTAAACAACAACATTGAAAGCACAGTCACATGAACACACACGCACTTGGCAAATGGGACATGAAATGTCCTATCAAGAACCATGATTATATCAGAATTCATGATTCCTTTTAAAAGGAAATACTTGTACAACGATAACTTGCACTTATAGAGCGCCCTCCACGCAGGGTAGTATCTCAGAGTGCTTAACAGTGGCAGAGCCTGACTCCGAAGCGGCGGGGGGGGGGGGGGGGGGGGGGGCGGGGGAGGTGACTGTAAGCACGGTTGAAAAGGAAGGTTTTCAGACCAGACTTCAAAAAGGTAGAGAGGGGCAAGGTGGAAGGATTGAGGGAGAGTGTTCCAGAGTCTCGGGGTGTGGCGGCTGAAAGTGCAACCTCCAATGGTGGGGCGGAGGGAGCAAGGGACGAGCAGGAGGCCGGTGCCAGTTGAGTGGAGGCGGAGTGAGGATTGAGGAGTGAGGAGGTCAAAGAGGTAGGGAGGTGCCAGGGAGTAAAGGGATTTGAACACAAGTGTAAGGATCTTGAAGTAGATCCGTTCGGTGTTCCAACTTAACAGTCCATCGCAGATCTGGCTGGACCTTATCAAATCTTACTGCTCTGCCCTCACCCCTGCTAAATCATTGTTCTACTCCAAAACAATCTTGGGAGACCAAGGACAACCCCAGGCTCCTGTTCTCCATCACCAACTGGCTCCTCCGCCCACTCTCTCACGCCTTGCCCATTCTGTCCTCCAACGCCAACTGCGAGGAGATGTTGGAATTGTTCGAAACCAAAGTCGAGGGGTTTCACTCAGCTGCCTCTGCCCTTCTGACCACTAGCCCCTCCCCTTTGCCCCCTCACACCCAAGCACCTCCCCATCCCTCCGTCCACACCTTCGAACCTGTTTCCCCCTCCTCTCTCATCACCACCATAACCCACATGAAACCGATCACCTGCTCCTTTGACCCCATCTCTATCCCTCTCCTTACCTCCCAGTTCCACCTCCTTGCCCCCCTACTCACAGACATCATGAACTTCTCCCTGTCCACTAGCATAGATCCCCCCCCCTCTAAAAACAGCCATCATCACTCCTGTCCTTCAAAAACCCTCCCTGAACCCATCCCTGCTCTCAAACTACTGCCCCATCTTCAACCTTTCATTCTTTTCCAAGGTCCTGGAATGACTCATTGCTTCCCAGCTTCGCTCTTTGCTCTCCCGCCACTCCCTTCACGAATCCCTACAACCGGGTTTTCATGCCGCCCACTGCACAGAAACAGCTTTGGTCAAAGTGACAAATGACATTTTGTCTATCTGTGACCAGGGCTCCCTCTGCCTCCTTGTCCTCCTTGACCTTTCTGCTGTCTTCGACACCGCCAGCACTCTATCCTCCACCACTGCCTCTCCACTCACCTCACCCTTCATGGTTCTGTTCAAGAATGGTTCAGATCCTATCTCTCACACCGTCTCCACAACCAGTTTCTCCTCCAGCCCTGGCACGATCTCGTGCAGAGTTCCTCGGGGCTCTGTCTTGGTCCGCTCCTTTTCAATATCTATATGCTCCCTCTTGGGTCACATCATCCGCAGATATGGGATACATTTCCACATGTATGCATGTGGATGATACCCAACTCTATCTCTCTGCCTCCACCCTTGACTCCAGGACCACTGCTATCCTGACAGAATGTCTGTCAAACATCAAGTGAGAGCTAACTTTCTACAGTTGAATGTCAACAAGACCGAGGCTCTCCTGATTCGCTCCCGCCAGTGCTTCCTCACCTCAGGTGCTGACAGTATCACCATCCATGGATGCACACTCCACTTTACTAAGCCAGTCTGGAACCTTGGCATCTTGTTTGACCCTCAACTGTCCTTTATACCCCACATCCGTGCCATGTCGCGCTCTGCCTTCCCCCACCTCCACAACATTGCTCGACTCCGCCACTGTCACACACCACAGGCTGCCAAGAGCCTCATACACACATTCATAACAAGTAGGCTCGACTAGATAAACTCCCTGCTTGTCGGTCTTCCCAACTCCGCCCTCCATAGGCTGCAGATCATCCAGAACTCTGCAGCTCGTGTCCTCTCCTGCACCAGGCTCTGCGACCCCATCCTCCCCCGACTCCATCGGTTTCCCATCACAGAGGATCCAGTTCAAGATCCTGGTCCTCACCTTAAAGCCCTCAATGGCCTTGCTCTCCCCTACCTCTGCAACCTTCTAACCACCTGTCAATATGCCTGCTCCCTCCGCTCAGCAGGCTCCAGCCTGCTTCACGTGCACCACCTCACCCACCCCACCATTGGCGGGTGGGCCTTCTGCTACTCTGCCCCCACCCTCTGGAAGACTATCCCGCAGTCCCTCCGCTTCACCCCCTCCCTTGGCTCCTTCAAGACCCATCTTAAGACCATACTCTTCGACCATGCTTTTGATCACCTTCCTTCCACCCCTGCCCTCCACCCTCCACGATCCCGACCCCCAGCTCGGGTCCGAAACACTGATTGTCCAGCGCATTGGGACATCCTCCCGACGTGAATAATAATAATAATAATAATCCTTACATTTGATATAGCGCTTTTCACGTCAGGAGGACGTCCCAAAGCGCCTCACAGAACACACTGTAAAGTGAATTGACTGTATATTTGTGGGCGAACGTGGCAGCCAATTGTGCACAGCAATGTCCCACAAACAGTCGTAGATTGAAAATGACCAATTTTATTATTGTTTTTGGTTTTGGAGGGATTATTATTAGGCGTGTGGAGTAAGGAAACTTGCCCAAGGTTTCACCCTGCCTGGAATTGAACTCAGGTCTCTCACTTGCAAAGTGAGTGCTCTAACCACTGAGCTACAGGACTCCACAGAAAGGAGCTATACAAATGTAATTTTGTTGTTGTTGATGAGGAGCCAGTGGAGCTTTTTGTAAAAATTGTAAAAGGAGTGGGGAAAGAGCAAGGGGTGGGGTGTTAAATGGATTGACTTCAGAGAGCTGGCACAAGCACAATAGTTTTCTTCTGTGCTGTTAATTTCTATGATTCTATTGTTCAATATGCAAAGTTTGCGTGGTTAGAGCACTCGCTTTGCAAGTGAGAGACCTGAGTTCAATTCCAGGCAGGGCGAAACCTTGGGCAAGTTTCCTTACTCCACACGCCTAATAATAATCCCTCCAAAACAAAACAATAATAAAATTGGTCATTTTCAATCTACGACTGTTTGTGGGACATTGCTGTGCGCAATTGGCTGCCGCGTTCGCCCACAAATATACAGTCAATTCACTTTACAGTGTGTTCTGTGAAGCGCTTTGGGACGTCCTCCCGACGTGAAAAGCGCTATATCAAAAGCAAGGATTATTATTATTAGTTATTTTGGTGGCACTTTGACTTCTATTTGAATGGACAGCTTTGTTTCAATAGATTGGACATGTTGAGCATTTGCTCAGATGAAGAGGGCTGATGTGTTAAATGGGGAAAGCAGGTATTTGTGGCAACGTGAGACAGAGCAGGGAGGTGTGGAATGTGTCTGAGAATATCTTAGATTTTGGTCCTTTTTCTCTCCCTCCATTCCCTTCAGCTCCCTCCCTCTCACTCCATCTCCCCCCCCACCCGCCTCACCACTGCTCAAATGCCCAGCCAGCGTGCAAAAAGTGATGAGACGTCCTTGGGATGTCAAAGGGGCTATAAATGTAAATTGTATTATAAAGTTGTACTGAATTGTACTGTAAAAATGGGATTTGAGATGCATTAGATGTGGAAGCTTGATATAGGACACAAAATGTACAAGAATGATCCCAGTTAGAGATTATTGAAATACATGTCAATCACACATTTGTTATTAAGCAAAGAAGCACAATGTTACATTTTGTTTAACTCTAATTCTAACTTGCACATTGGGTGCTAGGGACTAGTCTATCAAGAAAACCTGGAATGTTTTTTTACACAGACACCCCCCACCCCATGAGTTTAATAAACTGACCACTTCCTCTGAACTTTGAGCCATTTAAATTTTATAGAGCAAAATCAAATGCTGGTATTATTACAATAATAATCCCACATGGGCTCCTAGCTGCAGCTAATGCAATGCTTGAAGGAGACCACAAAGGACTGGAAAGATAACAGGACAAAAATTACACAAAAAAATATTTAAAATGGAGCACAATTGCAAAATGTGATATTGAATTTGGCATAACCAACAAATGAATCATACTTACAGCACTCAATAGGATTAGATGAAACTTGCAAAGAAAGGGATCTACCGTTGGGCTGTGGAATTTGTACACGAAAGACCAGCCTCACTCTTGTATTCTTCCGTCCAATGTCAGTCTCCCCTTTCCTCAGTTCTATGTCAGAATTCCGAAGTTTCAGGATCCCTGCACAATCAATACTGTTCGAGGCAAGAAAAGGAAATTGTTGTTAACATAGGGAAGATGCCTCGAAAATACTGTATATACTTAAGCTATTTTTTCAGCTCCACTGACAACTGTTCCTTACAAAGTATAAAGAAATTATCCTCACTTTGCTATTTTGGGTAAGACAATCAAGTATAAACCTCTCCTCTCTCTTTCACCTCTTCCCTAAATAATGGAAATAAAAGCATAGATGGCAGACAATATTTGACTTGTCCTTTTACAATTAAATTTCCAGTTACCAATAATCTTTAGGTAATATTTGTAATATAGGCCAGGGATCAATTATAGCCATCTTGCCCTTTAGTTGTGGCCCTGTTGATGTGAAAGGCGCTACACAAATGTAATTTGTTGTTATTATGACCAAGTTGATAGCTAGAGAGCAGTTCTCTGAATCAGTAAGGAACTCACAACATTATCTAAGGGACTTCGCATAAATGGGGTTGTAAGGCCTCTAATAGCATGTATTTAAGGAACTGTAAAGTAACTAAAAATAGGAAAGTAATCTTAGTTTAATCAGAACTTCATCAAAGCTACTCTGGTTGGTCCAGTTGCTAAAGGCAAATTAGTTGCAGATTTCTGTGAAAACCCCAAATGAATTAAAGAACTTCAGACATGTAAAACTAACAGAAAACTCAAATAACTAATTCAATATTTAATCCTTGGTGATTTTGAACTAACAATGGAGTTTTGGCACCATCCACAATCAAGCCTTTCCAGCTGAAAAGATCATAGACTGTTCATTTTTTAAATTTAACATCAAATAGGTCATTTAATACAGTATTGGATATTCTTGCACTAATGAAGCCCATAATTAACTATTCATTTTAGGGCCTGACAGAGCACACAACTTCCTCCTGCCATTAGTACTTTTTTATGCCCTGGATTCTGATGTAAAAACATGTCCCATTGAATAACACTGTAGATCACCTTTTAGAAATGTTGCTGAAATAAAATAGCCTCTGATATAAGGCACATCTTATGAATCCTGTACGTGTACAATAACCATACTTTTTTGTATTATTCCCATAGATAGTGTTATAAAGATCACCTTCTGCATTGTGGCTTTTTTACTTTTTTTAATCCCCATCCCAATATTTCTTCTTCTCTGAAGATGCTGAAATTCTGCTGTGGTCTTGTTTCAGAGACAACAAAAATTACATTTGCATAGCGCATTTCACGTCGAGAGGACGTCCCAAGGCGCTGGACAGCCAGAGATCTGCACCCGAGCTAGGGGAACACCATCTACACTCCAGTATATCACCTAAGGGGTCAATCGTCATGTGTTACGGTGGGCACAGAGGGAGTGCCAGCATACCATTCAACCATGGGAGACATCAATGCAACTCATTCCTGTCCACACCAAAAACATCTACACAGCAGATGTCATAGAACTGTAATCAGAAGCGAAAACCCTGGCTTATTATTTTCCCCTTACTAGACCAGAGGTTAATTGTAGCTTATTATCTCACCAGATAACATCAGCTACGTAACTCACCACATTTTGCAAATCATACCTGGGACCTGCTGGGTCTCTAAGGCTCAGTGGCTTTATTGGCCATCATCAGAGATCTTACTTGCAATGGTAGCTTTGAATCATCCAGTTAAGATTTTAGTATCAATCACTGCTCATACTGTAACTGTTTCACTGTGTGTAAATAACAAAGTATTTTAACTTGCTTGTAATTCCTGTTAATATACTACCTCATGACTCGGAGACGGGAATTATTTTTGGAAAAGCTGGACTGCTTTTTTAATGAGAAGCTATAAATGGTCAACAAAATGTGTCCAAATGTGTGGATAAGGAGGCTTACTTTGCTCTCATATTGTTCTCTGGTAGCAGTGGAATTTCCAACACTTTGGTATTGTTGATTATGGTTTCGTGACTGGTAGTGGAAACGGTCTTTCCGGTGATTCGGTGGACCTGGTAGAAGGCATGTGGTCGTAGCAGGCGGTCATCTGCTGTCCCAATAAACAGCTGCAGAGTGAGGGGTTCACTTTCCATGTAACCATGGAGCTGGCAATAAAACAGAAGATTCTTACTAGACATTGTACACATAAAGTGCTAAAAAGACCAATTTATTTTTTATAGGGCTAGAGCCAAGAACAGGCAAGAAAATTATTGACAGGTGCTAAGTGTTTAACACTTTTCAGTTACTGAGACATAAAAGTACATTTAGGCAACTTCTCAATTAATAAATTCAAGCATTTTCTTCTTACTACTAACCACTGCTTTGAGGTAGTTATGGGGCCATTACCATGTACTGTATTCGTCAATAGAATAAATCAGAGAGGCTGCATGAGTGGTACCACAAATCTCGGGTAAAGTGCATTTCTTTTATAGTCGCACTTTTACTTGACAAGCAAAAATAATGTGCAGACATGAATTTTGAACATCTTGTTCTTTGGCACACTCGGGACTTGATTCTCTAATATGTTTAAACTTCTTAGTGAGCACTCCTATAATTGTGGTTTACGGCAGTGCTGAAATAAACCAAATAAATCAATGGCTACGCATCATGCTGAACAGGACTAACTATGGGCATGAGAAACTAACATTCAAATCTCAATTCTGTTGAGCTGAAAATATGCAACCTTGTCGCTGCTGAGCGCTTACAAAGAGCACACAAATTTTACAATAAGGCGATCAATGTCCTTATTTCAGAAAATTGGGAGTCATTGAAATCCACACATTTAATAATAAGAATTCTTGCATTTGATATAATAATAATCCTTGCATTTGATGTAGCGTTTTCACATCTTCCAGACGTCTCAAAGCGCTGCACAGAATATACTGTAAAGTGAATTGACTGAATACTTGTGGGCGAAACTCAGCAGCCAATTGCACACAGCAGTGTCCACAAACAGTCATGGATTGAAGTGACCAATTTTTTTTGAAAAATTACTATCAGGCGTGTGGAGTAAGGAAACTTACCCAAGGTTTCGCCCTGCCGGGAATCAAACCCAGAACTCTCGCTTGTGAGGTGAGGGCTCTAACCACTGAGCTACAGGACTTCTGTAGTGCCTTATCACGTTATTGAAATGCCTCAAAGTACTTCATAGAATATACTGTAAAATGGATTGGCTGTATATTTTTGTAGGGCACAAGATTGTCCTTGGGACAATACAATAAAATCTATCTGCAAAGCCAGTTAAAACACAATACCTTTCACACAAACAAAGGCCGCTCAGCCCACTGTATCCATGCACTTTTTTTTATATAAAGGTTTTTTTAAATTAATTCCCATATTTCCCTTAGGTTTTTACAAAAGGGCGACAGAGTCACAAAGCAGTGGTCCATCATGATAAATAGTAGCATGAACTAAGGTGACATATGGGACATGAAGAAAAACTGGTGTCCTCTGAATGGGTCAACAAGGAACACTGCAAAAGTGCTTAGGAGGAATTAACTCAGCAGGACCAGAGCTTAAAGCAGGACATATAATCATTCGTCGTAAGTGCAGCTACAAGAATGAATTCAAAATGGGATCACAAACCACCTCTATATTCATCTCAGAGAAATATTTTTCTCCCTGAAACTAACGTGTGTAATTCACAGCTTTCAGAAAGCTTCTCATTTGGACATAATCTACTGAAAAGGTTACTTTGTGGGGGAAAGTTGTCAAGAACCTTTCTTTACTCCCAAACAATCATTACTTGAAACTTGCAGTCTGACGTGATGCAATTTAGCAGCCAATTCTGACCTCCATACTTAAATGCAGAACAAGAACCTACTTGAGCTCATTATGGTCAGCAGTGCCCCTGATTGCTGAACAGTTAACTCCAGATCACCCGTGTCCATTTAGCGCAGGAAATAGATTTGAAGATAATACAAGTTAACTAGGGGAGAATCTACGCCATCTACCATTGTGCTGTTTCGTCTGCATCAAATATCTTAAAGTGTTGTCGGAAATGTAACTGTTGTTTTCAAAGTGTTCACAGAGAATTCACAAGAGCTGAACACTTACTCCTGCAAAGATGCAATTTCTAGATAACCAGATTTCAAGGAACAAAGCAAGGAATGTAGCTGGCCAAGAAGGGCTCTGGATGATATTCAACATTGGCCGATCAACAAAGCAAAAATGCTACTCTCCTGCAAACACTTACTAAATGCAGTATATATGAAACTAAAAATTCCTCTGAAACATTTGTAACAAATGAATACATCTTACATATTCGAAAATGCTTTAAGAACAGAAATCTGTTTTTTTCTTGTTTATGCAAATTCCAATTGAACTTACATTAAATAGTATAAATCCGTTTTCTGGAGTACAAAGTATACAATGATAAATGAAAATACACACTCTAAGAAAAAGGCACTTTTTATTTTCTCCCAAGAGAAATTGCTGGCATTCACTCCACTTGTGTGCACTGAACATCAATAATTTATTTGCATTGCATCAGCTTAGCTGAACATCAGTGGTTTATTTGCAATGGATTAGCTCTGAAATTGGTACTATTTTTGATAGCCAAGAATTGACTGCTGTTTTCTTCTGGTTTGCGATAAGCAAACTAGACATTCTACCCACTTCCATGCTGAATTCATCAAACGACAAGTGATTGCATTTCACTACACCCATTTGTCATTATGAGGCAAATAGCACTCTTCTGCAATGGTGATTTCCCACAGACCAATGGGAAATTCAATCTAAACAAGATACACAGGTTTACAGAGAATAGACTAATAATGAATGAATGCTGAATAACCCATTAGCTATGTGACCATCATCAAAAGATGGCCTATTTTTAATAAATCATTGCATCCCGTAAAGCAACCGCTTATGAAAGTACATTTTGATTTATTTTATGATACAGTATTTGAGAAATTATTTTCTGTTTGTCTTGTCTGAAGGACTGCCCTTTACATCCAGTTTACATTTTTCTACCCTTTTCCTCCTTAAGCCCTTATAACCTTTACAACATGAAGATCAACTATCCAAATATTCTGATATTTATGTGACTCAGTTGTAGAACATATTGCCAAGTAACTGCAAATGGCCTGTACTCCCCTTGTGACATTGTCAAGTGCATGCAGTCCACTACATATGGACTTTTGGCCTTTTAAACACTGGCTCAGTCAATCCATTTGAGAGCTGCAATAACCTTTTCTAAAAATCTCTTAGGTTCAGAAACATACAGAATTACTTGCAGTGTACTCCAAATGCCTTAGATATTGTCAGCACTTTATTCGGCAATGCCTTCAGCAGAGGAGGGAAGATAAGAGAAAAACTGATGAGAGAAAAAAAATGTAAAAGAACATTGAGGAACATTGAAATTAGTCAGATAATACATTGAGAAATGGATTTGATTTGACTAAAATTTTAACACTGAGTATTAAAGTGTGGAATGATTCAACAAAGTCTGTCATCATGGTATGCTTTGCTTTTTTTGTTGCATTTTCATGAAAGTTCCAAGTCCTCAGCATTTGTAACAATGTAAAGTCCAGAGGAATTAAGGTTTTCTGAGCGGTCCATAACCAAAAAGAAACTGGACACTTTCCAAGTTCTTCTGGCGCTATCACTCAGATCAATACTGGACTATTGTAACTTAAATACAAGTATTACTGGCACTCATCAGAATACATACAGAGAGGATTAGCACTGTAATATGAAAAGTACTGTTATGATAGATTTATGAGTAAAATGTTAGCCATTGTCACAACCCAGCATATTGACAGCTATGAATGGACAGCAATATATTCTGAAACCTCAATTTATTACATCCATTTGCCGAAAGCAAAATTAGTTTCTCAAATGTTTAAGTTCCTATGCAATTTCATGAAAGCAACAGGTTCCACTTCAAGTCACTTTTTGCAATTAGAGAACCTTTTCCACTTTGTTATTCAAGTATTTGAAATGATGCTCTGCACTAAATTTGGTCTATACTGCACTGTTCAATGTAAGCGGCATTGTTCACCTTCAGACTGCTGCAGTGTTATGACTTTCATTAATTCATTTCCACCTCATGGCTCCTTGCCAGAACTAATATTGATGTAAGATAAAAGTAGCCCAGCCTCATTCACTACAAACAGGTCTTTCCCAAAATTTGATTTGTTTTGTAAAAGCCACCACCTGCCAGAAGGTAAAGTTTTGAGAGAAATTAAAACATCTCACAAATCAGGATTTAAAAAAAAGATAAATTTTGAATTTTTTTTAACATACAACAACATTTATATAGTGCTCTTGATGTAGAATAATATCTTGGAATACTTTACCTTGGTGCAGGGGATGCCAAGCAGGAGGGGAGAGAGATTAGAAGGTGATCATAAGCACAGTTGAAGAGGTAGGTTTTAAGGCAGGATTTGAAGACAGATAGGGGGCAAGTTAGAGGGTTGAAAAAGGGAGTTTCAGACTTAGATGCAAAGAATTGGAAAGCTTGTCTACTGATGGTGATGTGGGCTGGTCAGGGGACATGTGGCAAGCCTGAGTTAGCTGATCAGAGGGGGCAAGTATAGGAGTAGTGTAGGAGGTAATCACAAAGATGGGTGATGGGGCATGAAGGGATTTGTAGGCAAGGGCAAAAATCTTGAAATCAATCATCAAAGAGACAGAGAAGCAGTGGAGCCTGGCAAGTACTGGGGTAATGGACATACAAATGTTAGTGAGGGTGAGAATGTGGGCGACTGAGTTTGAGATGATTTAAAATTTATGAATGGTGGTACTAAAGAGATCAACAAGGAGTGTGTTAGAAAAATCTAGCTGGGAGGTGACAAATGGGTGGATAGGGGTTTCGACAGAATTTAGAGTGAAATAGGGGTGGAGGCAGGCGATGTGGCAGAGGTGAAAGCAGCTGGTATTGTTGCCATGCTACCATACTATCCAAATCTGTTAGGGAATATGACCAGATACTTATTGTTCATTAAGGGCCATTCTTCCAAGGTGTGTAAATGAACAGGCGGTGTGACTCTTTAATAAGGAAGGCGGGGAAATAAGCCAAGGCAAGCAGAAGCATAGATATTTTTATTTAAACATATTTACTGCAATTGCACAGTAAGTGTTCCAAGTAATAAGGCCACTC